ATCCTCGTGTTCTGGGGTCTAAAACCATCAAATTCACTCTTGCAAACCAAACATCATCTAAAAAGGCTCTCATTAATCTGTCAGGAGCCCCTGTGAGAGCAGCTCTGGGCAGACTGTCACGGCTCCCAGTCACTGCAGGATTCATCAGCCCCCACTGGGCACAGGGACAGTTTGGATGCACGCTCCACATGGGACGTGAGCCAGCAGCCAGCCCTGTCAGCAGGGTCCTGCTGCCCTCCCTGCACACCCCAGCACACACAGACCCCCAAAACCCACCACGGAGCACGAGCCAAGAGCGGGGACCTGCCCACGCAGGGAGGGAGGGAGGGAAAAAAATACCTGGGAGGTTTTAACCTGCTCCCACCTGCCTGCTGTGCAAAGCAGTGTTTACAATCTGGGGAGATTAGAGAGCCTGGAGAGGGAAGGGGGGCTGCAGCAGCCCCTGCATGCCTGGGGGGAACCACAGCTCCTCCCCAGGTGCAGCAGGTCCAACACCAGCACTCGGCAAAGCCACCACACCGTCCTTGGCCAACCTTTTCCAGGCCCTGCCAGTGCCCTGCAGGGTCCTCTGGGGCTCTGGGTAGGGAGATTTCTTGTCCCCTGGGTGCCTCCTGATGTCCTTTCTCTCCCTCTGTGCTTCACACAAAGCATTAAACAGAGCAGCTGCATCCCAGAAGGACAGTCCTGGGAGATGTGAGGCAGAGAACGAGGGAAGCTTCGGGATCTAACCTTAGCAAGGGCCCAATCCAGGGAAAAACAGGTCCACCTTAGCAGTCCTCTCATCTACTCCTCCTCTCCCACTTAAACCACATAACATGAAAGTGCACAAATTGATCCCCAGGAGAAAGCTCAAACCTCGCTGTGAACGGAGAAGAAAATGCTCTCAGGAGATCAAAAGTGGTGTCTAACAACTGCTGCACCCCCTCTGCCCCCCCTGCTTTTGGAGAGCTATGTTTAGCACCTCTCCTCTCCCCAGAGCAACCTGCCTGGATTTGTTCCCCACTGTGCTGTGGGGCTCGGGGGGGGCAAATCCAGGCAGGGAAAGCCAGGCTGGGATAAGGGATAAGTGCACAGGGATGAGGCTCCACGAGCAGCCCCCATTCCTGGCTCCTGAGATGTCACCTCACTGCAATAGGGTGTGAGCATGAGCAGGAAACAAGGAAGGGGAAGCCAAAAATGTGATGGAAAACCAAGGTGACTTCACTGCTGGGCCCTGCCAGGGGGTGGGTGGCTTCACTCTGGAGGCATGGATTGCCCGGGATGCTGGAAGGGGAGCACCCTGCATCACCCCCCCCCGACAGGAGGTCGTCGTTCAGTGGGGCCTTAGAGGAGGAGGAGTAGGCACCGTGTAATTAAAAGTGAGCAGCTGCTCACAAAATGAGCAGCCAGGTACGAAAAAAATTTCACCT